CGGGGGTGGGGTGGGGTTGTCATGTGACACCTCAGAGTTTTTAGGCTGGAACCTCTTCTGGGTTCTTCAGTTCGGTCTTTGTGGATAGTGCCCCCCCTTTTTTCTTTTTCTTTTTTTGCGGGGGGTCAGAGGTGGGTTCCAGTTCTTCGGTTTTCCCCTCTCGCGCCAGTTTCTAGCGTCGTTTGTCAAAGTGGTTAAAGTTAGCGCATTTACCTGCCTGAGTATTTATTTTGTAGGGCTCGCTCTACCAGACAGCGGCTTCGCCGGTTTATTCCCAGAGGATTCCAGAGGCTCACTTCAACCCCCTCCTTCCAAGTTGTCCTGAGAATCCCCGGGTTAGCTGGCTGAGACACCAGGGGAAAGCTGCTTTGGCCTTCCTCTGAACTTGGTGCCTCCTCACTGGTTTTTCAGCTCTAAAGAGATGTTAGGCAAGCACTAGACCTTTAAGCCATATCCCCAACAAGATAAGCACACTGTACCCCAATTTGGGCAGTAGGGAGTGTGGGGCGGGCTGTCAGACGGCCTTCTACCATTATTTTCAAGGTTGGCATCCTTTCTGACCACCTTCTTTAGGCCTGGCAATTGCAGGGCTTGAGCTACAGCGTAAACCAAACTCCCACTGTCCAAAGACAACAGTCCTTTGTTTCTTTTTCAGCGATATGTGGGTGACACCCACAGCCACAAGAACCTAGGGGTGTGGAGGAGAACCCTCTTTGATTTATATATACTGTATATCCACAGTTTTGAGGAATCCAAGAACAGAAATCGGTTGCAGAGTGCTCTCAACCAAGGAGAGAAAGTGAACAAGAGAGAAAGCAATAGAAGAGAATGTCAAAGTTCCTGACCCTGGGTGCTGAGCAGCGGCAAGGCAGAGGGAGAAGGAATAAAGAGAGGCAGCCCAGAACAACTCTTATTCTGTAGCAAATCTCTTTTGATTGTATTAATATTCAGATTCCATTTATATTTAGCACTCTAGCACTCTCCTGCTTTTTTCCTTTCAGGATTTAAATAGCACAAATTCACTTTTTTCCCCCTGCTTCGAATGAATAATATTATTTTGCATTTCTGTAACGTTAGACAAAGAAAGCACTTTGTAGACTTTCAGGACTAGCAGGAACCTTAGAGGTTCGCTCATCGAACCCTCTACTCAGTGCAATGATCTCTTTTGCAGCGTTCCCTTGTCTTCAAGATAGATGTGACACGATTCAGTGCTGGTAACCTCAAAAAATAAGTTTCATGCCAGTAGCAGTAGCTGTGTTATAGTCCACAGACTGGCAAAAAGCCAGTAGTACATATATGTTAAATAAAATTATTCAAGACCTAGCACTTAGGAGGCTGAGGTAAGAGGATCGTGAGTTTGAAGTCACACTCCAGAGACAGGAAAAAACAAAAACAAAAAAACCCCAGCTTTTAAACGTTTAGTAAGCAGGTCAATCAGTAGAAAGTTGTTCTAGGAAATACAACTTTCTGTTCCTGAACTCCTTCCCAGTCATCACTCGAACACCCTCTAACCCAGTTTGGTGGCACACCTGCAGTCCTAGTACTTAGTGGATCAAGTGTTCAAGGCCACCTTCATCCTCAGCAGTATACTGAGTTCCAGGTAACCTAGGCTACACAGACAGCATTTCAAAGACAAAAAATAAAAATAAAAATAAAATGTAACAAATGTCTCTTTAATTTAGCTCTTTAAAAAAAAAAAAAGGGTGTTCCACTTGCTTGTATGTCTGTGCACCACATGTGTGCTTGGTGCTCCGAGAGGCCAGAAGAGGATGCCAGTTCGCCCTGGATCTAGAGTTACAGACCTGTGAGCTTCCAGGTAGGTGCTGGGAATCCCTCTCCATGTTCTGGAGAGCAGGTAATCTTCTTAACTGCTGAGCCATCTCTCCAGCCTCATCACTTAGGTCTTGAATAATTTTATTTAACATAGATGTACTATTGGCTTTTTGCCAATTTGTGAAAATCCTATAAGAGATTCAAAGATACAAGAACACACTAACCTGTTCACCTGAAGAACTTGATAGCCTTTGCAATGTCATTAAAGAAACACATATAAAAAGAAGCAAACCTGGGTGTGTAGCTCAGGTAGAATGCCTGCCTACTGTGCACTAAGGCCTAGGTTCAAGTCCCAGTACTACATAAAACTAGACACAGTAATGCACACCTGTAATCCTAGCTCTCAGGACCTATAAATAAGATCAGAAGTTGAAGGTTATCTCTGCCTACATAGCAAGATGGAGGCTAGCAGGGGCTGGGGAGCTAGGGAGAGAATATGCAAGCCTCCCAAAAAGGTATAGATAAGAGTTAACTGGAGATATTGATTACAGGATCCTATAAACGTTTGCTCGTGGTAGTTTTGTCCTTGGAATTTATAATTAAGCCTCTATTTAGTATTCTGTTATCAGAAACCTAGCATTAACCATGAAACTCACAGGAACTCTGATCTGAGATGCATGGACGGTATTAAGAGACTGTTGGCTTCGTACAGATGTGCCTTAATGCCTCATAAGCAAGACGAAGCTGGGCATGGTAGTCAATGCTATATAATCCCAGCACTCAGAAGGAAGAAAAAAGGAAGAAAAAAGGTCACCACAAGATACAAGATCCAGGCCAGTCCTATAAAAATTGTGTGTGTGTGTGTGTGTGTGTGTGTGTGTGTGTGTGTGTGTGTTTAGATAGAGATAGATAGATAGATAGATAGCCTATCCTAAGCAAACAATGGTCACCACACTCAACCTCCATAACCTACACTATAGCCGATGGAAGTAAATCACATTGAAATTCAGACCATGGGGCTGGAGAGATAGCTCAGTGGTTTAGTACTTGCTGTTCTTGCAGAGGACCCAGGTTCAGTTTCCAGTACCCACATAGTGGCTTATAACTGTACATAACTCCAGCACCAGAGGGGATCAAATACACATACATACATACATACATATATACATACATACATGAAGGCATAGCAGTAAAGCACATAAGCAAAATAAATAAATCTAAATAAAGAAAACAGAAACTCAAATTTCAAACATTAAGCCGTACTCTTTTATGTTACTGTTTGAGACAGGATCTCTCTATATAGCCCTGGCTATCCTGGAGCTCATTATGTAGGCCAGACTGACTACAAACTCCCTGCCTGCTCCCCACCCCCCAGTCCTGGAATTAAAGGCATACACTACCACACCCAGAGAGCTAAACTCTTATCAATAGTTTCTTTAAAAATACACAGTATAAAGCAAGGTCTACGATCCAAAATAAGAAACAAGAGAGAGGAGATGAAAGAGTGGCACTTTCAGTGAAAAGCACAGTCACTTCAGATGATCAGAGGCCAGAAAAAGAGGCAGAAAACTGGGTACTTCTAAAAGATTTTGTTTGCTAGATTCGTCTTAAAACTCAGTTCATCTGCATTATTTGTGGTAGTAGGGAGGGGAAAAAAAACCCAGAAAACTGGGGCCTAGAGACATGGTTCAGAGGTTAAGAGCACTGCTGTTCTTCTGGGCTCACTCCTAACACAAGGAGGTTCACAACCATTCCAGTTCCTGGAGATCTGATCCCCTCTCAGGCTTCTGTAGTTGCCAGGCACACACATGAAACACATATATACACACAGGCAACTTATTACAAATAAAAACAAACCATTAAAAAAATAAAAACCTCAATTCTGGTCATGTAGACATTCCAAACATCTCCCCTTGTTTGTTGAGATGGTCTCTGATGGCCCAGGCTGGCTTTGAACTCCTGACCTTCCTGCTTCCTGTTTCCACCTCCCAAGCACTAGAAAGAGAGGCTTAAACCACAGTTGACTTTCTCATCTCTAATTCTACCCCACAGTTCTTCAGGAGTTGCTTACAGCGTACCAGATTAAATTCACCCTCTTTTAGTCTGTCATTTTAGACCTTCAAGCTTCCTGTTCAGACTTCTTTCCTAGTGTACCCTTTCAAGAGCCCCCACATCAAATCAAACATGGATGGCACATATCTGCTCTAAATATATGCAGAGCTTCTTCACAAATGTCACACACACACACACACACACACCACACACTCTTTCACCTCTGCTCTAACTTTGCTGTTCCATCTACCCATCATCCCTCCCATTCCATTTTACAAGATGGCTGCTCCTTCAAGGTCCCTATATAACACTGCTTCCTAGACCTGATTCCTCTTTCCTCTGAACTTCCTGTATTAAGTGGTATTCCCAACATTCTGTGCATTGGCAGTTGATGAGTTTACCCTCTGTTTCCCCCTTCTGCCTCCTCAAACTAGATCTTGAGCTTGTAGAAAGAACTGAATTACCATTCTAATATCAACATTCACAAACGTTCAAATAGCCACCAAGCAGAACTATAGACCGTCTTGCTCTTCTAAACTGCCATATTGCATAAGACATCAAAGGATTTCCTAACGGTAGAGGAGAAATCTGGGCTTCTTCCTGGAAGTTTTCTGGTAGAGAAAATCTTCTATCTGGGTAGAATCTCCCAGGATGCAGGGAGATGGAAAAAGTTGTTCCCAGAGGGCTTTATAGGCTACAGTGTTGCCGTAGCAATCGGAACAACAACAGACACCCTAATTTGGTAGTGCTCTGAAAGAAACTTGACTCTAGGCTCTAGTCCTAGGGCTCTCAGGCAAAGAGGCTAAGAAGAAATCCTTTGCCATGGTCTTTTGGATTTAGGCTTGTCTATTCCTCAGAGAAGGGTGTCTATGTCCCTTTTCTGTCCCTCTGCCTCACCCCACCCCAACATTCCAACCTAGAGTAGGGGGAGGTCAGTATACACAAAGCCCTCTGTGTAAGGGGTGGTATGTGTTCCCTCAACCTTCCACCCAGAGTATACAATGCCCCTTCTGCTCCATGCCCCCTGCCACCCTCCCTACCACCTCTCAATTGCACATGCCAGGCTGCAATTGGTCAGTGGCTCAGGACAACCCCCTCATGCTGGGGATCCAGGGGATTTTAAGCAGGTTCCAGAAAACACCACTCAGTTCCTTGTCCCCCCGCTATCTCTACCCCACAGACACTCTGGGCCTTTGCCCCTACCCCAGCTATGGCTCCCGGGGCTCCCTCATCCAGCCCTAGCCCTATCCTGGCTGCCCTGCTCTTCTCTTCTTTGGGTAAGTGGAGTCACTGAATCCCAGAAACCTGAGATTCAGTGGTCTCTCAGCAATTTCTCCCATCCTCACACCCTTCACTGCCAAGAGCCAGCCAGGGCAAACAAGAAGATGGTGTTATGTTTAGGTGCGGGGAAGGAAGGCATAGATCACTTAAGGGAATCAGCAAAGGTGTTTGCCAACGAGATGTACTAAAAGAGATCACAGGGAGCTCCCTGAGCACCCAAGCTGGAAGCCAGTCAGTGACTCCCCAGATCCATGCTAACAGCCTGTCAGGAAGCAGAAGGAGTATGGAAAGAGCAGGATCAAGCCCTGGGTCCTGGTCCCCTTGCATTCCTGAGTGCCACAAGAGGTAACCAGCCTTGATTACCCAGAATCGAAAAGTCAGCGAGTATGAATTAATGAATGAGTCCACTCTGTGGTCTCATCTTCACGGATGGAATTTCTGCCTGTGGCCTCTCGTCTATTCTATGAGTGAATCCTAGGATCTTGTCCCAGTAAAGCCATCTTTTTAAACTGGCCAGCCTTTTCCTCTTACCTTTGCCAGATGTTGAGTGAGCAAGATAACATCAAAGCAAGGTTAGTTAAGTAGAGCTTTCCAAAGTGCCTTGCATTCTATGTAAGCAGAAGGCATGATGGGGTAAGAGTGAGGATGAGCAGCAGGAGAGAGGAGAAGTTAGAACATCCAAGGCTCTTTCGTCGGTCAAGTTCAACTTCTTGGGTTGTAAACTCAAAACTTAAGACGTTTCTGGTTTATTTTGGACTATTCTGTGATGTCCCTAAGCAATGTTGAAGGTAGGGTGTTGGAGTAAGCCTTGGCAAAAGAAATGAGGAGCTGAGGAGACTAGGGAGCAAAAGAGCTCCGTCCCAATCCTAGAACCACTGAGTAGAGTTGAGAAGGGCAAAGATTGATGATAGGATAGGAGGAATAGAAGTCCAAACAATAAATAACCCTCTTTGTTGCACTGGGGATTCCCAAGAAGGCTCTCAGACAGAATTCCCAGGAGGTAAGTAAAAGATATTGCATGCTAAGATGGGAGATTCAGGACAATGAGGGCGGAGTGGATGTGGTATGAGCCCCCAGCACTGGCTAAACAATGGGACTTTGTTTTGTCGCCTCCTCCTAAAGAACAGAAAAGTCTATAATTGTTTCTACCCAGAGCCAGCCCACACACATAGACTGCCTGGGATGACTCTCCCTGTGTGGGTGGCTTATAGGGGTGGCATTGGGCCAAGATGACCAAGAAGAGGGTGAGGATGGATGGTTGGACCACAGGGGTCCACATGCAGAGTCACCTGGGTGTTGAACTTGGGGTCTTCTTCTATATCTAGCTTCTCCTTGACATGAAGTCCTTCCTTCCCTGAATCCCTAGTCAAGAAGACACTAAATGGTAACATGGGGTGCAGCAGGCAGGCTTGAGAATTGTGCCCAGAAAGAGGACTTCTAGCATTCTCTAATCTGCTTCTGCATCTTCTTTGTCTTCTTCTCCTTCTCCTCCTTCTTCTTCCTTCTCTTCCTCCCCCTCTTCCTCTTTCTCCTCTTCCTCTTCTCTTTCTTGCAAGAATCTGAAGTTACTGTGCATGCTAACATTACAGTTGATATCTATGACTCAGCATGGAAAGCCATCTCAGATACATATGTTCTTAATCCAAAACCAAAAGGGAGAATTTAATGCAATACATTGTAAATACATTGTATTTTAAAGAGCTCCACAAAACAAAATTAGCCATTTGTCGTAAGACACATCTTGAGTTTATTGCATTTATATTGAGTTTGATACATAGAGAGAACTGGTAATGGTGGTTCTATCTGGGTGGAAACTTTAGGAAAGAAATTGGTTGTTAGAGTAAGTGTCAAAGATAGCTTTGTCTGTGTTACTTGAATCATTTATGAGAATGTATACATGGGACAGTGAGCATGCTTTTAATCCCAGCACTCAGGAGAAGTAGCACGTGGATCTCTGTGAGTCCCAGGCCAGCCTGGTCTACATATTGAGTTCCAAGATAGCCAGGGTTACATAGTAAGACCCTGTCTTAAAACAAACAAACAAACAAACAAAGTCAGTATATCTTAATTTAGTCAAAATATTCAAAACCCTACATCTAATTAATTGCTTAAGAGTTAGATATAAGCCGGGCGGTGGTGGCGCACGCCTTTAATCCCAGCACTTGGGAGGCAGAGGCAGGCGGATTTCTGAGTTTGAGAGTTCGAGGCTAGCCTGGTCTACAGAGTGAGTTCCAGGACAGCCAGGGCTACTTGGAGAAACCCTGTCTCGAAAAACCAAAAAAAAAAAAAAAAAAAAGAGTTAGATATAAGTTGTTGGCACATGTGGTAATTTTTTTATGGCACAGGAGGGCCATAAGTTCTAGAGGAGTTTGGGCTACATAGGAAGACTGTCTCAAAAGAAAGGAAGAAAGAAAGAGAGAAAGAAAGAAGAAAGAGACTAAAATGGAAAATGAGATTGGATACAATCTACCTTCTAGAATCCTAAAGAAAAGCACAGATTTCATTTCCTCTCCAGTGAAGATTTCCTATCCAAGTACTAACCAGAGTTGGCCCTGCTTAGCTTTAAGAGATAAGACAGGATTGGATACATCCAGGGCGTTACAGCTTTGAACTTGAGGGACACTCTTTATGCTGAGACCTTGAGGAGATACAGCATTTATATTTACATACTGAGTTAGTCCAGACAGAGGTAAGCCTCCAAATATTTGTTTCATCACTAAAGCCGTTCCAGAACCTTAGCCCCTGACTGCTGGTTGGTCTCGAGTCTTCTTTCTAAATGACTGGGCCCACCTGTGTGCATCTCATTTCCTTCTGCCTACAGTGCTGTCTCCAGCCCTGGCCATTGTGGTTTACACGGACAGGGAAGTCTATGGTGCTGTGGGATCCCAGGTGACCCTGCACTGCTCCTTCTGGTCCAGTGAATGGGTCTCAGATGACATCTCTTTTACCTGGCGCTACCAGCCTGAAGGGGGCCGAGATGCCATTTCGGTGAGTGCCCAGGTGGTGGTGGGATGTCCTAGGGTTAGACAACAGATCAGTACTTCAAACAACAGAAAAGAGAACCCAGGCTACAGAAGGGAAAAGGTTTTCTGAGCTTCAAACTCAACTGCAGAAAGGTAAGCCGCAGTCCTTGTTACCTTGCCTAGGACCTGTGTGCCCTGTCCTCCTTCCCACAGGCCAGGATCTGGGACCCTGAGTCCGGAGCCAAGTTTTGGCAGCTTTTCACACTAGGATTCTTTCACACAATTTCTGCCATTCCTCATAGATCTTCCACTATGCCAAGGGACAACCTTACATCGATGAAGTGGGGACCTTCAAAGAGCGTATCCAGTGGGTAGGGGACCCTCGATGGAAGGATGGCTCCATTGTCATACACAACCTAGACTACAGTGACAACGGCACTTTCACGTGTGATGTCAAAAACCCACCGGACATAGTGGGCAAGACCTCACAGGTCACGCTCTATGTCTTTGAAAAAGGTGTGAGAAGGGACAAGGGACAGGGTTCTGGGAGGCACTTCAAGGAGGGTATTAGGGAGGGCTGACAGACTGTGAGAAGGGAAAATAGCCTCAACTAACAGGTGGTGCAAGCCTTTAACCCTAGCTCCGGGGAGGCTAAGGAAGTGATTGCTTGGGTCAAATAATGAATTCAAGAGCAGCCTGGGATATATCGCAAAACTGGGGGATGAGGGAGGCAGGCGGCATGTGGATAAGTATGATGGGTCTGGCTGTAATCCTAATTCTCCAAAGGTGGAAGCAGATCGATGCGAAGTTCAAGGCCATATTTGGCTGCACAGCAAGTAGGCCAACCTGGGCTACCTGAGACGACACTCCTCCCACTCACCCCCCAAATAGCAAAAACCAAAGACGCTGAGAAGGGAAGGCAGCCTGGCTAAAATCCTCACATTTCCAATGACTGGAAATAGGTGTAGTGAGAAGCAGCATAGATACAGGTTTCTGGTTCCTCCCCGCTGCGTGCGAACCGCGTATTTCTTCGCCCTCCCCTCCTAGTGCCCACCAGGTATGGGGTGGTGTTGGGAGCCGTGATCGGGGGCATCCTCGGGGTGGTGCTGTTGCTGCTGTTGCTCTTCTACCTGATTCGGTACTGCTGGCTGCGCAGGCAGGCTGCCCTGCAGAGAAGGCTCAGGTAAGGGGGGCGGGAGGGAGCCTGACTTCCCACCTTTATCCAGGATCCCCCAGACTGCTTCAGTGGTGGTAGGGGCAAAGGAAAGAGGAAGTTGAGTGTAGTGGGTTCCAGTGTGGCCAATCCTGCTGCAACCTCTCTTCCCGCAGTGCCATGGAGAAGGGGAAATTTCACAAGTCTTCGAAGGACTCCTCGAAGCGCGGGCGGCAGGTTAGCGGGACCTGAGACTGGGAAGGAGAACGCTGGGAAGTCCCGGAGAGCAGTGAGGGATGGGTGGGCATGGTCAAGCCCAAGGCTGACGTGTGCAATCCCCGCAGACGCCAGTGCTGTATGCCATGCTGGACCACAGCCGAAGCACCAAAGCTGCCAGTGAGAAGAAATCTAAAGGGCTGGGGGAGTCTCGCAAGGATAAGAAATAGCGGTTAGCGGGCCGGGCGGGGGGTCGGGGGTCTGCGACGGAGTCCTCCAAAGGCTCTCAGGTGGTGGTCATCGAGATGGAGCTTCGCAAAGATGAACAGAGCTCGGAGCTCCGGCCTGCAGTCAAGTCCCCCAGTAGAACCAGCCTCAAGAACGCCCTCAAGAACATGATGGGCCTGGACTCGGACAAGTGACCGTCATATCCAGGCCCTGTCAGAGCAGAGGACCTAGGCTCCTCTTTTTCCCAGGTCTAGGTGCTTTCCTCATGCTCCTCAGCCCTGCCCTGCCCTTACCTCCCAATGAGATGTAAAGTTTCATTCCAACCTTCCTTTCCAAGTCTTGTGTTTCTCCTTCGCCTTTACCCCTCGGCTTTCCTAGGGACTAACCCTCACCTGCCCCAAGGGCTGTGTGTTTGGTGCCTCTCCCTCAGGCACCGAGAAGAAAGGGACCTGATAGCCTCTGCCCAACTCCAGGCCACTTGGCCTTCCCTCGCCCCCACCCCCGCCCCCAGCTGATCCCCGGGCTCCTCCCCGCTCTCTCCTTTCCTGTCTTATGGCGGCCCAGCTCCACACACCGTCCTCGGGCTCAAATCCACACCATGCAGAGCAGACTCTCCGTCAGGGTTTATTTAGGTTGCTGAGTTTTTTTATTTGTTCATCCATTCTTTTGTTTGTTTACCTGAGCCCACAGACCCATGACCGAGGACCAATGACGTCATGTGGCTTTTGCAGTTACCCACTCCTACTAAGTCTTTACTGGAGAGCCAGCCAGGCAAGCAGAGGCGCCCTGATCCTCAGACCTCAGCTGCATAACTGATGCCCTCTGACCATTCTGGAGCACTTCTGGGGCTCCGAGATTTGGGGAAGGAGAGAGAAAAAAATAGATCCTCACAGGTCAGGGGTGGAGTAGGAGGCTTTAAGAAATGTCTTCAAAATGAACAATCAGGAGAACAGGGAAAGAGAATAGGAAGGAGAGGAAGTGGTTGCTCTCCCAGGCACAGGGGACTGTTAGGACTTTTCTGCATTCTGTATATTTCTCCTACCATCTCCAAATGTCCTTAAATGTTTAATAAACACTGACATTTCCAGAAGCTGCTGCCTCTGTTTTGCATTTTCAAATCCTCGTAAGAATCCCTTTCTCTTCTCTTATTCCCAGGCCACATTGCTTCCTCATTAGCTGGTTTTCATTGTCAAGTTTGATGTTATGGTATTGGCCCGTGTAGCATAATAGGGAGAACTCTGAAATAGGCTCACAGGCACATTTATGTATTAAAAACTACCCAGTGAGCTTGTACTAGGTCCAAATCTGTTTTAGGCCCTGCTTTTACATGTGTGGAAACACAGTAGCTTTCTTTACCAAGACCTGGATTCTAAAGCGTGCCAGCCACTCACTGGTTGTCTGCCCGAGAATGCTTACTTGCCTTTGGTAAGCTTGTTTTGCACTTCATAAATACAGAGAACCATCCTATCCCCCTTACACAATTCCCAGACTGTCTGTGAGAATCAGGTAAGAGACAGCGTGTGGAAACCTTTATGAGCTGTAAGCTTAGTTGTACATATTATAGCATATGACTAACTTCTTAAGGGTCAGGTCCTTAAAAATGTTTCTTGTCTTGCCTAAGGGAGTGTATACTTTAGAAGATAGAGAGGGATCAGAACACCCACATGGAGACTCACAACCATTGATAATTTAGTTCCAGGGAATCTGATGTCCTCTTCTGGCATCTGTGGGCAACAGGCACACATGTGGTACACAGACTTATGTGTAGGAGAATCACTTGTATAAATAAAATTAAAATAAATGAAGGAGTGCACTTTATAAACTAGTACAAATCTCATTCACACTTACGAATATACACACACAGACCATTATGCTGAGCACGCAGTATGTACCTATAATCCCAGCACTTAGAACACACAGTCAGGAAGGTCAGAAGTTCAAGACCAGTTCTGACTAAATAGCAAATTAAAGTTTAAGGCCAGCCTGGGAAACAAGAGACCCTGTTTTAAAAAACAACAACTTTCTTTTTGTTCTCTATTTTAGATACATTATTAATACCTGACTAGCCAGTTTGTTTATAATGTCAATTTAGATATATCCTGGAACCTTTAGATGATTGTGGGCAAATGTAATAGCTTCTCCTGGGGGTGGAGGTGGAGGGTATTTTATTTCCTGGAGCTGTAATTACTAGCCATTGTAAACTGCCTGATGTGTGTGGGTGTTGGGACCTGAACGTGGGTTTTCTGTGAGAGCATTACACAGACAAGCTGCTGAGCTAGCTCTCCAGCTGCCCAAAAGGATTCTTAATAAAAGACATAGGCACAATGTCTGGAGGAAAACTAAGATTTTATTTCACACTATATAAGAAATAAAATGTAAAAAAGTATGTTGGTACATTACTATAGTTGTGGCATTCAGAAAGCTGGAAGGTTTGCTGGATTGCTAGGAGTTCAAGGCTAGCTGGGGTTATAGAACAAGATCTTGTTTAAAACACAAAACAGAATTACAGTCCCAAGCAATCACCCTAAACAAGTACACATGAGTAGAACTGAATAGAGTCAGCAGGCTGTTTATACTTCACACACAGATACACACAGATACACACATATACACACACACACACATACATACATACACACAGATACATACACATACACACAGATACACGCACACACAAATAATTAAAAAAGAGGTTGTCATGAATTTGTGAAGGAGTGAGGGAAGCAATTATTAAGAGTAAATATTTGTTTAAAGTCTGGTGGGTTGGCAGATGCCTGCAATTTTAATCACTTTTGGAAGAATGAGGCAGGAGGCTTGCCTTGAATTCAAGGCCAGTCTAGGAGCCAAGAGAGAGGGCACAAAAGTATTTGCTTAAACTCCACAAGGAGAAGACCTTTAAGCAACACAGGAAATCTAAAACTTACACAGGAAATACTTCAGATTTTATCCTCTCTATTGGCAGAATACACTATAGTAAATATTATAAACAAAATTCAAAAGTTAATTGATAGTGATGGAGAAATCATAATGGGTTTTCATAGTTCCCGTACTTCCACCTCTATCTACAGCCTCCTTGGTCTGCTTCCCTGACTGATAAAGCCGTATGAACGTGTCTGGTCTGGTACAGTAGCTGCAATATGTTCCACCATCGCCTTTCAGCCTACTACAGTCATATCCATCGCTCCACTAAAATTGTGTTCCTCAGAGGGTATCAATGATGTCCATGTAAAATATGCTTGTGTGTGTGTGTGTGTGTGTCTACTGTATTTGTGTGTGGTTTGTATCATTGGTAATTGAACCTAGGGCCTTGTGCTCTTGAGCCAAGCACTCTACCACTGAGCCACAGCACTAGCCCCTGTTGTTAAATCTCAATGGTCACTTTTGAGTCTCTGATATCTCTTGGCAGTGTTCAGCATTTTCAACCATTTCTTCTCTTTGGTAATGGTTTACCACTTGGCTTCCTCCAGATAGATTCTTCTGCTTTTCATTGTTTTTATCAATTTGAGAAACGCATGGGTTAACTTTATAGTAGAGATTGCAGTATTTTTTCTGGTTGATTCCATACATTGTGGGTTTATTCCCATATTAATGCTAAAAATTTCCACTAAGTTACAGTCAATTAGAGATGAATATTCTCTTCCCCTTTAGCTTATTTTTGAAGTTTTGCTTTTAGATTTATTTATTTTAGATTTATTTATTTTGTGTGTATGAGTCTCTTGCCTGCTTGTATGTATATGAACATACAAGTGCCTGTTGCCCAAGAAGTTCAAAAGGGGGCATCACATCACCTGAGACTGGAGTTAGAGATCAACACATGTTCTTACCCTGAACCTTGTACCCAGCCTCTTCACCAATTTAGGTGGAGACTTGTGTATTTATTTGTTAGTTTTTCTGAGACAGGGTCCCACTCTGTGTTCCAGGGTGGTCTTTAACTTACTTTATAGCCTAGGCTGACTTCAGAATTTTCAAGAGTTAAAACTCAAGTCATCAGTGTCCCAGGCAAGTGCCCTCAACTGCTTTGCTATCTCGATGGCCCTAGTGAGACTTTTAAAGGGTGTAGAATAGTTCTTTTGTGTTTTCCAGGTCACTGTATTATTGTCTAGTATCCTTACATTTTTCTGGACTCTTAACTACCAGGATCATCTACTCTGTATAGTCATACATACAATTATTAAAAAAAAAAATTACTAAAACAAACCAAGAAACAAAAAACCTTCCACAGATTCTTGAAACTTTCCCTAGAGGGCAGTACACCTTTCTGTTGAAAACTCTAGAAGGCCTGAGGCCTGCCTAAAGATTGGAGAAAGAGTCCAGACAGCGTCTTGAGCCTCCTGTTGATTCTTTTTCTCTAGACACATCAGCTCTTCTGAGACCCGTTTATCTATCTAGTTCACTTCCAATTACTTTTAACTTCAGAGAGCCTAGCCATACATTTCTGGAAGCAGCAGAAGAGGCATCTGGATGAGATTAAGACATTGTTAGAAATCTGGGAGTCAGGTAAAGCCAGGCTGGGGTCATCCCAAGAAGGAAGAAAGAGGGTCTAGATCTAATGGGGTCAAATAGGTATTCTGGAGCTCAGTTAAAGAGGGTCCTGCCCTGCCCCTCTGCCTTCTAAACCAGGCTGGACAGCATCCTTGACAATCAGCCCTCAGTTTATCCATGTCATATAAACCCACAAATTTGGGAGTCAGACCATCTGAGTTCTATCCCTACTTTACTGATTTGCTTTGGTTATTTAGTGCCTCAGTGGCTCACTTTCTTCATTTTAAAAGTGGGGTAAAAATACCAGTACCATTGTAAGAATATAGACGAGCAGAGGATGGCGGTGGTACACACCTTTAGTCTCAGCACATGGGAGACAGAGGCAAGTGAGTCTCTGTGAGTTCAAGGCCAGCCTAGCCTACAGAACGAGTTTCAGGGCTGTTATAAAGAGAAACTCTGTTTTGAAAAAAAAATTAAATAAGCTAATATGTATGAGAGTGCCTGTAAAGGGGACTGACCCACACGGGTACTTTACAAGTCTTCCTCACCATTTCATGGCCTATCTGTAGCATGAGACTCAAGACTCACCCCAACCTAGGGAATGAGGATCCCAGAGGACCCCAACTATGAAGCCTTCTAAACCAACAGAATTCAACCCAGCAAAGAATATTCACAGATAACCTTGTCTTCTCCTTTGCCCACTGCATCTTTAGATTCTAACATAGCCTCCCACCTTGACAAATGAGGAAACTGAGCCATGGAGACATTTATTAACTTTGCTAAGGCACATGAGTCATTGAACTATAGAACTCAGGACCTAGTTCTGAGAGGACTTTGAGGGACAGGATTTATGCACCTGTCTGTCACGCAGGTTTCTAGGCGTGTGAGCTTTGGCCACCTTCACCATTAGACTGCTGGCATCTGGAAATACCAGACAATTACAGATGCTCAGAGACTCAAATTACGTCTCTAAAGGTCGGATTCCCATTCTGTGGACATTTTTACAATACACATCCTTTGTCTTCTGTTGGTCACATGGTCCCAGTTACTTCCCAGCATGCTGTAGAATTCTCCTAGAAAGGAATTTTTACTGCTTTGCAGTAAGTCAGTACCACTTGCTTACATTAGCCATCACTTTCCTCCTGTCTTTGAGAACACACACTCAATGCTGTCCGGATCTGGCTCTGACTGTATTTCCTAAGACCCCAAATAAAGTCTCTTTACTATACAGTCTCGGTGACTGCTGATAACTGATGGTGGGTAGACTCTAAAGGAAGCTCAAAGA